TAAATGGCTTGTTTGTGGACTTTCTGTCTCAGTACTGGTCGTGGGAAAAGCTTTGGCGGACTGTGTGACATACACCACGTGGCGACCGCCAGCTGTTATGACATATTATGAATATCAAATTACTATATGCTGTGAAAGCTGTCAGATATGCTATGAATCCCTTACCGAAGCCTGCCAAGGACTGTTGAGGATGTCAATATTGTATTACCGAACTATCCTTGCCTGCAGTGCTGTAGCCCTGACGTTGATATTTTGTGATGTGCACAGTAACTACTTTCTTTATTATTTGTGACTGGAAATACAGTAACTTGCAAACCCTAGCAATAAATATGTAGCATGGCTATGAATTGACTGCCAAAGCATTGCTACTGTTGTGGTAAAGGTGGTAGGGCTGAACTACCACGAATGTTTTTATTGCTCAAGATTATTTACATTATCAGTAGTTAACCCTGATATACCCATTGTGGTGCAACACCATTCTTGCTGGTGATAGCCCTTTGGCATTGTTAAACCAGTTGCTACCAGTCATTCACAAATCATAAGTTGGCATCTCATAGATTTCACATAGAGTAGTCAACCAATGTGGTGCATTGTGTAATGACGCAGGTTAACAGTGCGGTGATGGCCTTAGTGCTATACTGTGGCATGGCATAATGAACAATGGTACGGTTTTGTACTGCAATCCCTGCTGCTTTCATAACAGATTCCATCGTGAGAAGATGGGTCAAGCATGCATTGTTGTTTTCACTCCGCGTAAGACTGACACTGACATACGATATAACATATGGCACTGGCATATGACCAGCCAAACATGACAGGCATCAATTTGCTCTCAATCAATGTTGTGTAGGGCACGACGACGCAACCAAACAATGATGTATTAGGGAGCATATTTATAGAGAGCATAGCGGAGAAACTGTGTTGTCTAGAGAAATTGTGTTTCCCACGTAACAGTACATTAACAGCCAAAAGTGAGCGTATTTCATCATATCTAATGCTTATTTCAACATATACAGATGAGGGACAATGCCTTTAAGCAGGTGCTACGGGGCTTGACCGTGACCAAACCCACTCGCCTATCCAACGCACGGCTCCGTGAGATTGAAATGGCGCCTGCCCACATCGTAATAGTTGATGAGCTGCCTTAAGGCGTTTGGCGAATCCTCCATCCGTCTCAATGCGGTGCATGCCACACCTGGGCCGCGATCGACCCTCTTGTCAGCTTTCTGTCTAGTTTGCTTATCGGTGCGTTATCGCTGTTTTGGGGTCGACATCCACCAGCGTTCCGATGTTTGGGGTCGACATACACCGGCGTTCGATGCTTGGAGTCAACGCTGACCGGCGTGTTCCGTTGCTTGGAGTCGACATCAACCGGCGTTCCCACGTGTGTGGTCGAAATTCACCGCCGTGTTCCGATGGTTGGAGTCGACGTTGACCGGCGTTCCGATGGCCTTGCTCCTCCCAAATGCGCCTAAAGTGGTTGATTATTGCGGCAGCTGCTTACCAGGCGTCAGCAGCCAGTGCCGCTAGCAGGATCCACTCAGAGTTCCGCTGCCTATCTGGGTACACGCGAAGTTCCGTTACCCATCAAGATATCCTCGGAGTTCCGCTACCACGGGTTGGTGATCTCCGCGCCCGCACAAAACTCGGTTCAGGGGGCTCGGAATGCCCAGTCGCACTCCTATCAGCCAAACCAGCTGCGGTGGGCGCTCTACCGTGTCGTGCTGGAATGAACTGATTTTAATCGACCTATCGATTTTCGCTCCCGACTCTAATCGATCTTGAAAGTCTCCGTGTGATTAGTGTGCGGCGTAATCAGATGTTAGTTGGCATATTCGGTTACGTCGAAGGAGCAGCTTCTCCTGATATATCAGCGCATAGCTTAATTGCGTTATGTTCGGGGCACTCCTCCCTTTATTATTTTCATTATTTATCTCAATATAACATGCGTTCACACACAATAATGAAGATATTACAAGTCCTCGTCGGGACAAGCATGATGTACGGTTGTGCGATTACATTCTAAGTACACTATTGCCGTCATGAAAACGTCGAGAGGCAAAAGTCGACATAAAAATAAAAAGTGCACCAAAAAAATGAAGTCGACAAAGCCGGCCTGCAGCATACAAACTGAGCGTGACCCTTTGCCTTGAAGGCTCTTGAACCCCGGTTTGTGCGGAACCTCTCTGTTGGACTCGAGTTATCGACATTGTTGGAATGCTGACCTCCTTTCTGGCTAATCTGCGGCCACGCCTGCATCACTGGCACATTTCCCACTCCACTCTCGACCAGTGCTTGCATCGCCTTTATTTGTGACGTGCCCTTAAGCGAAGCAAACATTGATTGCGATCGCCTTCGTCGAGAGGACGCGCCGGGGAGGATTTCGCGCGGCTGAATCGGCGCCAGCTGTTGTGCGACACCTGTTCGCCAAGCTTCAGCATCCGCAATCCCGCCACGCCATTCCCGGCACGTTCCACCAACTTCTGCCAAAGGCGCAAGTCCCATACAAAGTCTATGTTGTTCCTCACTGGCCGGCTCAGTGGAATGAAAACCTCACCATCGCTTGATACCATTCCCTTCGTCTGCAGCCGGGTAGCTAGGTGCGTATGTGCGTGCATGCGTGCGTGTGTATGTGGGTGCGGGTGCGAGTGCGCGGGTGCATGTGCGTGTGCGTGTGCGTGTGTGTGCGCACGCGTGTACGTACGTGTATGTGTGTGTGTGCGTGTTGTACTATAAAGCCTGGTTGGCAGTCGAAAATCACGGCCATGTATCCAACAACTGCTTCTCCTTAGTTTTGCTCCAGCACGCCGGGTTTGGAAACACAAGGGGGTTCAACACTCAAAGCTGCGGAAGGTGGTGAAACCTCCGAACACCTGGCGTGGGTTCAGATACCATGCAACTATCATTTAACCAAGGGATAGGGGTTGATTTTACGGAGAGTCTATGGCAAATCCAAAGCATTCAAATGATGAGAAGCATTCGCGACAGTTATATGATATTAGCAAAATCCCGTTTTACACTGCCACTGTAGGCGAGGAAGCATAGCTGTTGTTCGGTGCTAAGTGAGACTCCAATGTTTCGGTGTTGTGTTACAACAGTTACTTCCCGTCTTAATGGCACGATGTTTTCGCCCAGCCAACCTGGCCAGTGACTGATGATACGCCCTTCTACCCAACGCAGGCCCGGTCCTGCGCACCGGTACTGATTGAGTGCCCGCTGGCTGTGTGGATCCAGGTCCTGATCGCCGTAGTGAGACGGTCTCACAGGCCTCGTTCGAGAGCTGTGTTGTTTAGTTAGAAATCGGCTGCATGACACATTTCTGAGAGCTTTGGCAACTTTCATAGGCCAGGCTGTGATCTGCCGTCAGAGGGGCAACGCAATTAAGTGTAAGAAAGGCCGGGAATATGAGCCAGGGCATCTGGATATTCCATGTTATATTACTTAATCAAGCACCTCATATACGCTTTAAGCCTTCAAGGGAATGTTTCACATTGTCATGATGTGGAACACTATACGAACATGAATGCAATAGCATATAATGTTTCACACCATATGATACATTATGTAATCATATTCTTTATACTAAAATATCGAAGTAAACACCAGATATGACGAAACAAGATCACTCATAACTATTGGTATACTTTTGAGTGGAAGACACTGCTTTAGCCAACACAGTTTATCTGTTCGGTAAATCACTCCTCAAACCGTTGGTGTTTGAGCGCGTCATGGAACGTTTGTATAGCTTTGAGATGCTGCCCAAGTAGCCGTGCTGAGTTGTCACCGTATCACTCACATGTAGTACTCCAATCGCTCGAGAGGTGGCCGTGGCGGTGCGGAACAAGTATCATTGCGAGCTCGTGTTTTGGCCCTTTCTCGAGGTGTTCGTGCACATTTACCGATGGGTGTAAATTGCTCAGCTGCATTTCCATGCTCGGTTATGGCACCATTCGTAAGTTATTCGATTACAAGTCTCATTAGCGTAATAACTAGCACGGATGTCCAACTTCCCGTATCATGTAGCACAAAACGTGTCTTGTGAATGAATCTTGCATAGCCTGCACCACATTGGTCAGGAGCTAACTGACGGCAGTTATGGCTGAAAATCGTGCTCACAAACGCCAGATATGAATGGCTGGACAAACATATTTTGGTTGGCCTCGAGCGATGCGTGGCCGTGGGACGGCAGGATTTGAATTACGTTTCTATTTACATCATGCACGCCTGGATGGCCTCAAAAAAGTCTGTATGGAATGGTATGCACATCTTCACGGCGTGTAGCTCAGAAACTAAGAGGGTTTTAGATCCTGACAAGACAGGGCTGTGAACTGCACCGAATGATCTTCCAAATGGCTATTTCAGTTCAAAGCCCCATACAAATGTGGAACACTGCCTGCAAGTCACGTAATTTGCTGAGCGGACTGCCATTCAATACATATGTGGCTTCCTTTGGAGAGAGAGAGAGGGGGGTGAGAGAGAGAGGGAGAGATAGGAGAGAGAGAGGAGAGAGAGAGAGAGAGAGAGAGAGAGAGAGAGAGAGAGAGAGAGAGAGAGAGAGAGAGAGAGAGAGAGAGAGAGAGAGAGAGAGAGAGAGAGAGAGAGAGAGCTACCGGGGAACGTTTATCAGAGAGGTCGCAGGGCAAATAGCTCATCGCGACACTGTGACCGAGGTGGGTGTCATTTCGAATCCTGTGCAACATGAGATTGCTACGACTTGTTTCGCATCTGCTAAAACCGGTCTTTGAGGAAACATGAACGATATTTGAATGACTTTCCATTGACTGCTCATATTGAAAACGGAAAGTCATGAAAGGTCTTGACACATATAAAGGTCTTGCTGAAAACATAGCCTACGCTTTCCGCGGCAACAGACTTACGTACATATTTTTACCATTAAAATCGCACCCCTGCCACGCATTTTACTCTTCACGCTCCACTTCTGGGGCCCTTAAACTTGAAACGGGCACACACGTCGAGAGAGCCACTGCTCAGTCACTCACGTGGCGTGAAGCAGATGAACCACAGCCCGCTGTATGTCTCCTTCTCCAGCACTTCGGTGCCGTTCGGAAACCGTTCTGTGGTGCTCAGCCAGGCCGGCGTTGCCATGGCAACGGCCACCAAGGTCAGGGAGATCAGCGCGGTACCTGGGGCGATCCAGCGCAGCCAGCGAACGGTCACGTTGAGTGTTCCTGCCATGTCGTGACCTGCCGGAGAAAGGTCACGGGGTCAGATCAGGGCTAGTCTCGCAAACCAGAAATGAAACGCTTGAGGTTTAATGGCGTGTTCAACATCTAAGGCCGCGTGTGTGGATGTGATTGCGCGAGGAGTCACGACGCGCTCTGACCGAGGTCAGGCAGGAACCGCGCAGTTCTCCGCTCGTGAGACGGAAGTGCTCTCATCTAAGCTCCTCTGGCTCTGTCAACCCAAGACGTTGTCAGTATTCTTTATAGATCTCAAGATTTGATGGTGTAATTGGACTACCGCAACTACATTCCACATGTGCCTGTCAGTGTGATGTTAGTGTGGAGTGAACAGGTTTGCGCAATTTTTTACTTCTCCAGGATCCAAGCGACTGAGATGAAGTACATTTCAACCCACCACAGCAGTTCTCTAGGTTGCATGCTGAGCCCGGTACACCGATGCTACATAGCTACCGTTTACCGGAAGCGTAAACGACAAGAAAAACACAATTTCAAGGATACGGTCTGTTGCCTGAAGACTCCTGGCTGCAACTGACCGAAGCAAAAGATCCTGTTGTGCGGTGTGCGGTGATCTCCAATTGGTCATGAGCGACTCGTGTCGCGTATTGGCGGAATGCGAATCATTTCACCGAGCAGGCCGGCCGAGACGCGGGCACCAACACTGTAAGTGCTGCGAGTGCGGAGCACTCGCACATCTTGCAATGCTTGGGCATGGAAACACCCGCTCACAGAAGAGAAAATCTAGGCCTAAGGCTAGGCAAGCAAATGCAAACGTCTCCTACACATAGAGATCTGCTCCGGAAGCAACGAGTGGTGACCTTCGGCAGAAATATGTGCACAAACACACTCCAAGGTTTTGCTGTGGTATACGACTACGCAAATTAAGATCCCGCGTATAACCATTCTCATTAACACAGACGTATTATCAACTAGGCATTTTCCTACTTTGAAGTGGCTTGGAAGCAAAAAACATTCACTACGTTGATCGGTACATACTCAGTGAATTTTCGTCGGAGGATATCGTGCACATGCGCTATATGAGTTGATACTCGGAACCATCCTTTTCTTAATAAACTCTCTC